CACATTTCACATCTTTTTTTTTTTTTTTTTTGGCAGCATATTGATATCTGTTATATAGATCTACTCTAAAATAATTATACTTCCCAATGTAGAAAGTTATAATACTCCAATTAGAACAGCATTTACTGCTATCGGTTCCTTTTGGCACAAAGTTGTTTTTTACAGGTGCACTGTAAGTCATATCTGTTGAATAAAGTGTCTAGTTCACCGTTAATAAATTTAATTCGTGCCAATTAAGTTTAATTTTGATAATTTCAAAAAATTTAAAACCTAATTGATAGCATTATCTAGTTTTAAAATTAACTTCACTAATAATTACGGTCAAATTAGGAATGATGTCCATGAATTTTGGTTGCTTTTTTTTTTTTCTTTTGTACTGATACCAAATCCCATAGCGAAGTAAAAATGATAGCAAAAAAAAAACGCTTTATGGAATTTGCAACTAACATAAGCAAATTGGCATCCTCGTTTAACATATTGCCCATATTACATCTGTAACAACAACAAAAAAAGTGAAAAAAATTGAAGAACAGACAGCATTTAAGGCAGCGAAACATATATACATTTTTATATATACATTTTTTATATAGCACTAAGTTTTTCGCAGTTTTTTATATTGAATACAATCCACCAAACTGCAAGCAAAATACCATTGAAAAAACGATTGGCAATCAACAGATCGCCGCCGCCACCACCGCCTTCACTGTAGCGTCAATTCCGTTTTTTTACCTCCATTTTGGCCGCTACTTTTAACACCATTTTCTCCTTAACACCAAACTTTATCCGTTATTCAAATGTCCATTTCTAAACAATCACTTTTTTTTTCTTTTTTTTCTTTCTATTTTCCTATCTTCTTTTTCCTTTCTTTTTTCTTTCTCTCCTATTTTCCATAACATTCAATAAAAAAACTAATGTTTTTCTTTCACGTTCATTTTGACACCGGATTTTTTTCTTCCTCCCCTTCCTCCTCCTTCTCCTCCTTCTGCTCCTTTTCTTTGGTGAGAGGGTGTTAACAGACTGGATGGAAGAGAAGACAATAACAGAAACGCTTCATTTCGCTTTTTGGTTACATCTCATCTTTCATCTTCATCTTCGCCACTTTTAGCTTTACTGTATCTATTAAAGTTAAGCTTTATGGTTTTTCTTTGTTTGCAAAAATTAAATTGAAACGTTTTTTCTCTTTTGAGAACATATTATAATTATTTGCAAAATAGAAAAAAAACCTATCGGTAATACAAACAATCAAACAAAAGTTATTTGTTACAATTTTTACTCGCTATTTCCTTACTAAAAATGCCTTAAAATTGAGCATTGATTCATGAAATTTTTAGCTAACATTAAGTGTATCTGCTTCATTTCAACTTAAACTTTATGTGCTTACGGGAAAAGACAATCCTTTTTCTTTGTTTATTTAGGTTACGTATGAAATAGTGTTACAGTAGAAAAATTTTGGACGAAGTTTAGCTAAAAAAAAAAAAAAGAAGAATTATTTTTCCCCAAAAGAAACCAACGTTACTGTTATAATAGTGGATGTAATTTTTGATTTATTTGATACAAATATCCTTATGTCGTTTAGTGGCCATAAATATTTATTTTTATTTTCACTTTTTCTTAGTACTTTTGATGCTTTTACAGCACCAGCAGCAACAGTCATTTTTTTTTCTTATCAGTACAATCTTATTGTAGTTGTAATACTTCTGTATTGTTTATTAGGTGATGCCAGCTGTCTTAGCTGGTGTCACAGAAGTACCACCAAAAAGTAAGTGCAACCTGATTAAATATTAGAATCTTTTTTCCAAGTTATACTGAATGAATAATTTTTGACAATAAGAGATGGCAAGAATTTTTCCCTTTTGACCAGTTTTAAGCTAAACTGTTACTGAAGGAAAACAATTTATGAAGACGAAAGGAAGCAGCCGATAAAGGACTTAAAATTTAAAACAGTCTTATCCAGTATCCGCCTTGAGTTAGCATTTTTGCCTATATATATATATATATATATATATATATATATATATATACGTATATATATATATATATATATATATATATATATATATATATAGAAGAAATATGACGTAATATTGGAAGGGAACCAAAAGAAAAGAAGGCTGTTAGGGGAGGTATCAAAGCGGAAAGAAAAAGGCAACAAAACAACGCAACTGCTGCTGTATGGAGGAAAGGGAATAAATTTCTATTCGATATACTACTGTATATAGGAATTTTTTTTCGTTACATATATAGTAAAAAAATAATAATAAATCTAATCATTTTATTTGTCTAATTTTATGCTGCGAACTGTACGCTCAATTGGTGCACACATTGTTTTTGTCACACTAATGATCACAACAGTTTTATTCTTATCCTTTTCACAGGTAATTAATTACTGCTTTGCTGTAATGTATAATTTTTAGCGTTTGCCATTGTTTAATTCAGCTAAAACCTGATCTTTATAACTGAAAAAAAATGTTAGTAAAACAAACAAAAAAAAGTTTATTTTTATAAAGTTGTAAAAAGATAAAAAACCTCGACTTTAAATAATTAAGGAGATGGAAAAAAAAGATACTATTTATACTGTAAATTGGCAACTATTGTTTAAGCTTTTTTTTACAGCTTGGATTTAGCCGATACATTGAAAAAACACCAATAACTGTAAGTGTTGAAGATGTTATTATTGCTGTTAAAACAACTGGTAAATATCATAGAAGTCGTGTATTGGATATTGTTGATACGTGGTTTCAGTTGGCACCAAATATTGTAAGTATATTTGCTTCAACTCTTTTATTCACAAATTTATACTTCTTTTTCTGATGTCGGCGTTGTTGTTCAGATATTTTATGATTATAAAAGTGCTTAATTAATATTATTTGTCAATTTGTATGTTTCAGATATTTTTTGTGACAGATACAGAAGACGAGTATCTGAATAAAATTACTGGTAACAAAGTAATACTATGCGATTGTCTACTTGGGCATACCAGGTAAATGTTTTTTTTTAGGAGTATTTTTGTAGTGTTACCTGTCTGGTGCAAAAGTTGTAGACGGAATTGATTGTGCAGTATTTCTGATTAGTTATTTCTTGTTTTATAGGGAAAGTTTATGCTGTAAGATGAATGCTGAATTAGAACTGTTTACATCGGTAAAGTCTAGGTATGTTTTTTTTTCTTCCATTACTTTAACCCTTCAGAAAGATCGTTGTCAATTGACACGTCAACGTAAAACGAATGACTGCTGTTGTTGTGGATGGTGAAGAAAGGAACATGAAAACTTGATTGACTTTTTTTTTCTCCTATGATGGAAGCTTTGATAAGCCACCTGCTGTGTTGAGTGACTGAAATTTGACTAGTTGATGAGTTGTGTTTTTTTTTCCTTCTTTTTTTAATTCTTTTCTTTTTTCTCGTCAAATCCTTGTTCTGTTACCAAATTATTAATGTTTGTTCATTTGATTATAAACCGTTATTTTG